TCTTTTTTCATTGCATTTCATTGATCAGATATTATATCCTACCATGAAGAAAATGTTTATGTGGTTAATGAGACTTTAAACAGCACAGGAAGTAGCAACATTTCAAAATAAAGTGTGACTCACTCAGCGTTAAAACCGTCTACATGAAGAATCCTCATCTGCTTTACAATGGTGCTTTTACCTGATTCTCCTGCACCTGCAGACAGATCGACAGAGACAAGTGAGACAGACAGACAGGTGAGACAGACAGACATAAAGACAGACAGACAAGTGTCTCACCCAGCAGTAACAGTCTGTGTGTTGCTTTATATGCCTGTCTCTCTTTCTGCAGCTGTCTCTCGATCTTCTTGTTGGCTTCTCTCTTCACTTTTTCATCCAGTCGTTCTTCCTCCGTCTTCCCTCCCAGACAGCCCATCTCAACTGGAAACACAGAAACCAGTAAATATGAACAGTGAACAGCTTACTCAACCCACGGGAACCAGTGAATAACCTACTGAAACCAGTGAATAACCTACTGAAACCAGTGAATAACCCACTGAAACCAGTGAATAACCCACAGGAACCAGTGAACAACCTACTGAAATCAGTGAACAACCTACTGAAACCAGTTAATATCCTACTGAAACCAGTGAAAACCCTACTGAAACCAGTTAATATCCTACTGAAACCAGTAAATATCCTACTGAAATCAGTGAACAACCTACTGAAACCAGTTAATATCCTACTGAAACCAGTGAAAAACCTACTGAAACCAGTGAAAAACCTACTGAAACCAGTGAAAAACCTACTGAAACCAGTTAATATCCTACTGAAACCAGTAAATATCCTACTGAAATCAGTGAACAACCTACTGAAACCAGTAAATATCCTACTGAAATCAGTAAATATCCTACTGAAATCAGTGAACAACCTACTGAAATCAGTAAATATCCTACTGAAACCAGTAAACAACCTACTGAAACCAGTGAACAACTTACTGAAACCAGTAAATATCCTACTGAAACCAGTAAACAACCTAATGAAACCAGTAAACAACCTAATGAAACCAGTAAATAACCTAATGAAACCAGTAACCAACCTACTGAAACCAGTAAATAACCAAACAACCCACTGAAACCAGTGAACAACCTTCTGAAACCAGTAGGTTATTAATGCCCGTGCTGGTATTGTACCTCCTTACACGTGTGTGTTTTTTTACATGCTATACTCTTAGTAGGGCCAGTCATTACATTTCTAAATTAATAATTAATGCTACATTTATTTTGATTATTTTTGGTGCATTAATTTAATTAATGGGTAATTGTCCCAATTGGTCCCCCATATAAAATATTATTGATCCCTGATACAAAATTAAATTAAATATATAATTAGAAATATACTAAAATAAACAATATATAATAAAATATATATATAATAAATACAAGAAGAGGTGTTTGCTCTTGCATTACTTGCAGTTCAGGGGAGCAGGTTTGAACCGCAGCTGGTCTGTTACAGGCTGTATTGAGAGACTCTAAGAGATCTGTTTAAATGAGCCATTATTATAAATTAACTATATTTAATATGATGTACACAATCAAAACACTCTGATCTGACAGTTGAACGTCAATATTTCGGTATAAAAATTAAATGTGATTTCACAAATGATCCTTATATTTTTATACTTTATATTTTTATGTGAATATTGCAACAGCTGACATTTTACACAAAGTGCCACCATAAAGAAAATAAAATACATATGAAAGAAATGAGACTAAAACACAGATAAAAAAAACAAAGAAAAAGAAAAGTTTTCTGATTTAAAATGGAAAAAGAAGAATTATATGAAAATTATTTAGTTCATCAGGCTCAATATGGAATTATTATTTATCATTATTAATATCACTGACGACACTTTTACTCACATGAAGGATCAACCAGTAAAACCAGTATGTGACAGGTTTGTACCGACCTGTAGCTGGTGGCGATCAGTGAGCTGTCCTGTCTCTCTGTCCGTCCATCAAAGTCCACAAAGACAAAATAAACTCCTCAACCAATCAGCATCTCTGGCTGTCCTCAGGGTCCAGTCCAGGTCCAGTCCAGGTCCAGTGCAGTACCAGTTAAGAGGGACAGGACCAGTACTCGTGCTGGTTTCTGGGTGTTTTCTGTCAGTAAATGTGAAGCAGAGACACACCTGAGCTGCTCTGTGTCTCTGTCTCTAACAGCGTCTCATTAGTCGTCTCTCTGCGTCTCTTTGGGGGATTTTGCTGTTTTCCTCTGGTGTCAGTTCGCTGCCTGACAACCAGCTGCTGGATTAACAAACACAAAGTGAACCTGGTTTCATCCTGGACTCTCTGAGACCACAGCGGACTGTGGACCAGCAGACAGCAGGGTCCCTGAGGTCACTAAGGTGGTTTTACTGAAGCACATATAACCTCATTAAAGATGTGAATAATATCAAGTATAATATGTATAATATCATGTATCAGAGACTTATTAATGGTTGTTGTCTTACAGAGAAAATACAGACAACAACAACAACAAAGTTAGAGTTACCAACAGCATCCTTACTGTTGTTGTATTCTGATATCAGCTACCTGTGTGTAATGTATGTGAAACATAAGTGCTCAGTAAAAAGAGGTTTGGATTAAGAATTAATAAATACAAATGTATTATTTCTTCTTTTGATTGTTGATTTTAGGATGTGAATGAGATGCAGTCTGGTTCAGGAGAAGATGTCAAATTTGAGTTTTTAGTCCAGTGATTTGCATTAGTGGCACCCCCTAGTGAGTGTGTTCCAGGTCCTTTTAAGGACACAGTTGTTCACTTTGTCTGTCTAAGTGCAGAGCCACGCCCTCTCTGAAGCTCACTGGTCAATATGTTGAACACTAAATAAATTATCAATAAGCTTTATGCAACTATTGATCAGCTCCGTGCGATGAGGATCCACAGAAGGTTTGTAGGCAGTCGGACCGACGGTTCAAAATGGCCGACTTTCTGAAGATGGACTGCAGAAAAAGATTGTAGACTGAACCGTTGGTTCATGTAGGCGCTAAAGAGCAGACAACCAGAGAAAAATACAAACAGGAACATAAATCTACTCCTGTACATGCTCTTTATATTTAATACTGATATCTTTATCTACCATTAACATAACATACTGTCTTTATGTTATTTGTTCATATATTATTGTTAATAATCGTCCTGTGTTTATTGTTCTGCTTCTTTATGTGACAATAAAATTCACTGTGACTGAATGAGTATGTATGTATGTAAGTTATTATATTGTTAGTTATTAATGACTTGAATATATTGTTAGTTATTGACTTTAATATGTTAGTTATTAATGTTTAATATGTTGTTAAAGTTATTCATGTTTAATATGTTGTTAGTTATTAAAGACTTTAATATGTTGTTACAGTTACTAATGTTTAATATGTTGTTATTAATGTTTTAATATATTATAACAGTTATTAATGGATTTAATATGTTGTTAGTTATTCATGTTTAATATGTTGTTGGTTATTAATGGATTTAATATGTCGTACAGTTATTGTTTAATATGTTGTTACAGTTATGAATGTTTTAATATATTTTGTTATAGTTATTTATGCCTTTAATATGGTATTAATGACTTTCATATATGTTGTTAGTTATTCATGTTTTTATATACTGTTACAGTTATGAACAAGTTATGGCAGAAAATAAAAACCGACGCTAACGCAGGAGTTGATCTGCGTCCTTTGTTGCTCATTTGGATGGTTTACTCTTTAAACGTTGCTGCAGCAATGAATTGTGCGCCGGCGTTGGTAAAGGAGAGAATAAAGACCTTTCACACAGTCAGGATCCGACTATTCAACCGGACCCTGAACCAGCCAGACCTACAGTGTGAGGGGGCGTGGCTGCGCGTCTTCTAACTGGCACCAG